GTAGGTAGGTAGAAACAGTAACCCAAGGCTTACTGCCCTTTCAGAACATCAGGCATTTACAACCTTTCATGTGGCTCTCCCTTCATTCTGCCACATACCCAGAGCAGGAGCAGGTTACCATCTCTACTTCACAGAAAGGAACTGGGGCTTGGTATGCCTCAGCAGCTTGCTAAGAAAACCCAGGTTGTACTTCGTGGAGTGGACTGATTAAAGAATTTGGAGGTTGAACTTACCTAGTTGTTCTATTGGCACTCTTCAGTCTATAACTAAAGTGCCCTCTGATGTGCTCTTAATTCAGAACTTTGCTCTAGAGCCTGCCCCAGATGTCTCAGGAGATTGAAGACCCAGCAGTCACAGAGCGGCAGCAGCCCAATGGAAAGTGTGTAAGCTCAGTATTGTTACAGCTGCGCACAGAAGCCACAAAATACCCTGGAGCCATTTCCTAATCATCCCAGGCCTGCCTCAGTCACCTTGACACTGCCAAAATCTAGTTTAACTGGTCCTAGTTCATGTTCACTAATGCAAGGGGAAAGTTGCACACTTGCACCCTGCCTCGGTCTAACCTGAGTCCAGGGCTGACAACCCCTTCCTCCTTCCTGCCTCCCTCCCACAGCTCTGGACTCTGCTTCAGAGCTCTGTGGTTACGGACGGGTTAGTCCTGAATGTGGAACTAATTCAGCTGCAGAAACAAAACTCAGTGTCAAGCTCCCTGACTACATATTTCCATTTTTCCTTTGCCCAAACCCCAGTGGCATTACTGCCAAGGAGCTATAGCCAGTTTTTGTAGGTCAGTGTGGACTGAGGGGCTTGGGGATCCAGAGCTGACGGGTGCCCATGCTCCTCCATGTTGGTCTGCTTTCAAACAGTGGGGCATCTTGGGCTGGGCAGAAGTGCATCTGGATGTAGACCATATCCACCAGGACAAAGGTCCTGTTGCCTAGTGATGGACGGACAGACAGAGGGAAGGTAGGAGGGAGAAAGGAAAAGTAATGGTCGTTTAGTTCCAAAGTACGGTGGCAAAAGCATGTGTTTCTCTAAAGCTAATTCCACCCTCTGTGGGTTGGGTGACATTAAGCAAGCCATTTACTTCACTGGGCCATTGATTTCCTCTTCTGTAAATAAGTAGGGACATGCAACACTGTCCTGATGGTATGAAATTGTGTAAAGTTTACGTCCCAGTGCCTGGCTTCTTGGCAGGCACAGCCACCTTGAAGTCAGTGAAGCAGTGGAACCAGGATGCTTGAGGAATGGCCCAGTGCTGCCACCACAGGGGTCACCTTGGGCTAATCTCTTCATAGTCATCTGCATCCGTCTCCTCTACTGAAAGACAGGGCCTGACCAACTCTACCATGCTTGCCTCCTGCTCTGGAATCCTGCAGGGCATCCTCCACACACCTCGAATGAACTGTACAACACAGGAGTTCACACCCTGGTGTAACAGGCTTTTGCCAGTTTTCCCCATTTCTGAGAACAGACTGCTGGCACAGAGATAGTATGCTGCCATAAGGCAGTTCTTGCCATTAAAACCTCTTTTACCTCTCACAAAGCCAATCTCTAAGACACTTCAAGATGTCATCATAACTGAAACCCCATTAAGGTGCCTACTCCCTTCTGGCAGCATTTATGCTGAGACCTGTGGACTAGGGGATGGGTCTTTATTCCAAGTTTGTTTCTCATTGCTCACTAGTTCTGAGCAAGGAACTGGTACTTCATGATATTCAGAGGAGACTACATTTTGTCCCTAGAGACTGGCTTTGCTGCCCATCTTGGCCTGGACAGCTGCCAATCCCTTGAACCCAGGTGGCCAGGAGTGCCAGCCTGTCCCAGCAGAAGACAGCTGGGGGAAGGGGCTGGGCTGCCCAAGCACACCAGGCCTTTAATAGAATTCCACATTTGCACTCACAGGGAAGGAATCTCTTTCCCTCTCAGGTCTGTGCCATGGCCTGAGGTCCCAGCTGCCTGAAGTTCAGAGCCATTTACCTGCCAGAAATCTTTGAGTCTGCCTTTTCCATTCAGGCTCTTCATAAGACACAAGTAGTTCCTGGTTCCACTGGGCTATCCGGGTGTTTGGTCCAGAAGAGCGTCAGTGTTCTGGGTGGGTGGAGCCTTGTGTTGTGTGCTGCTGTCAATCCACTGCACAAACGACCACATGGCCACTCCTGGCTATTCCCAGGGTAGGGCAAGACGCTCCCTTTGAAGCTGAGGGCACAGTAATTGCTGCTTTGACTGCTCAGGAAGGCTTCAGTGGGTGGTGCCCTGTCCCTTGCCAGGCAGCAGCCCACATTACCCATCTCTCGAGTTTCATGCCTGCAGTTTCTTAAAAAGAATCTCAACCTGACTCATTTTATATCTGTAAAGCAACACACTTAAGGCCCCCATTTCTCCTTTTTTCTTTTTTTTTTTTTTTCTGGTCTTTTTGAGACAGGGTCTCCCTGTAGCCCCAGCTGGCCTGGAACTCGCTTTGTAGACCAGGCGGGCCTTGAACTCATAGAGATCCACCTGCCTTGGCCTCCTGAGTGCTGGGATTAAAGGTGTGCACTACCATGCCAGGCTTCCATTTCTCCCATTTTGAGGTAAGAGTTGATCTGCCTGATACTTAACATATTTTCAGAGTAGCCAAGGACCAGCGGTTTTGTTGGACAGAAAGGGGCTGTCCTTGAGGCTTTAAAGGACAGTTCCCATGAGGAGTGCAGCCCTAGGGTGGTAGGCAGAGAACCTCTGAAGCCAGCTAACTTGTTGAGGATTTGCAAGGTGACCCTGCAGAATGATGAAATAATGATAGCCCAACTGTAAGAGTATAGAAGGGAATGACTGTTTCTTTCCAGGCAAATTATGTCTTGTCTATGAGATAAAGACCCTCTGGGCAGCCATGCTTGTCTTGACCGTTCTGGTACCACTGGGCTCAACTCAAGAAGGGAGAGGGGATGCTTGTAGGTAAGATAGTCAGGGGTGGAAAACTGAGCCAGGAATGCAAGGCACTATAGATGTGAAAGAATCCAGCTCTGCTTTCGTGTGGGGGGTCACAGCTGGGCCATAGAAGTTGTCTATACCTCATGACTTTAGAGTTCCTTGGTGCCTGGGGTTAGGAGCAGACACCAAGCACAGGGGCAGGCTGTCTCCGTCAGTAACAGACATTCCTGACTGCCAGTGACCAGTCAAATCTAAATCCTGGCAGCCTAGTTCAGGCCAGTAGCCTAGGATTTCAAGGCTGTACCTTACTAGGAAACTGAATATTTTCCTGTATCTGAGAGGAAAACCTGCCCAGGAAGAGCAACCCGGACCAAGCCTTTGAACATCCTCCTTGCAAAAGCACCTTGTAAATAGGGACCTGAGGGCCCACCCATACCAGGCTTCAGTCCTGTGCCTGTCATTGGAAGGGCATGGCTCTTGGAAGCTCTTTTCTTCTCCTGTGTTAAGGATTGCTATCCTTGCTCAGTTAATACAAAAACTGCAACTCTATTATACTGTGCACTTCCATTAAACAAGGAAAAGTCAGTTTCGCAGAGTAAGAATTAAAATCTTCACTGGAGACCTTCTTGATTAAAACATTTTAGCTGGCCGGGCATGGTGGCGCATGCCTTTAATCCCAGTACTTGGGAAGCAGAGGCAGATGGATCTCTGTGAGTTTGGGGCCAGCCTGGTCTACATAGTGAGTTCCAGTTCAGCTGGGGCTCCAAAGAGACCCTGTCTCAAAAAGACCAAAAACAAAACATTTTAGCTGATTCCTCCCCCATTTTCTTGGTTTGTTTTGTTTTTCAGTGGTCACTCGGCCAATTTCTTCACGGTTCAGATATTTTTAGGGATAGCTTTGGTAGGAACAGCAGTAAAGTGCCAGCCAGCATGCCCACTGCCCTCTGTGCACAGTGGGGAGGTTCCCAGCCCTTCCTCAAGACAGTCTGTGGGCACATATCATGTTCCTACTGTGTACTGCAGTCCTGTGGAAAGTACTCGGCCACCCAGAGCTGTGTTTTCATTTTCAAATTGTCAGAACTTCCTTTTATTGTCTAATTTCTTTTAAGTGTCAAGAAGCCCCTACTATTTGATCTTTTTTTTTTTTTTCCTAAGAAGTTCTACCTACAAAGGAGAATACCCCAGTCATAGACACAGAGAGTTAGGTTCAAATGAGGCTGTCACAGGCCCCAGATGTGACATGGTGACAGACAGTACTTCTGTATCCCTGCCTCAAGTTCAAAGCCTCAGAGATATGTGCTTTGGAGTGAAGGGGCTGAACTTGGCCAGGCCTCTGCTTTCCTGTCTTCTGTTGCTATGATGGTGTTTACTTTTAATCACCTTTGAAATTCCAGATCATTAAAGCTCTGGGGATTTGAGGGTTCTCCTGTTTGAAAATCATTATTGCCAATGTCTAGTAGTAGTTACTTTAAAATACCTGCCAAGTATCCATGTCAAGGCTGACAGGAGATGTCAGCTGCTATGAAGGAAAACATCTTGAGGATCCTACGATCTTACACAGAAGTGGAGATGATTCCATTCCTCAGAATGTAGGAATGAGTAGCACATCCTGGGTGTGGGAGCTGGTCAAGATGGGAGGAACCTGGCAGTGCTCTAATTGGAATATTCTAGTACTGTGTCGAATCATGCACTAGCTCCCCACTGTGGACTGAAATCAGCTCCTACTTCAGAATGACCAAGCTTTCCCTGACCTGGCTCTTGCCCACCTTTGCAGTTCTTGTTTAGCCATTTCCTCCTACTGATGTCTTTCAAACATGCTGTTTGTTTAGCAAGACCCAGCACTTTAAATATACCTCACATCTTAACTCTGTGTATACATATATGGAGCCAAAGTAAAAATGTTAATGTTTTAGAACTATTCTGGAATGCATTCTGAGGGATTCTGGGCTAGCATTGGTGCTCCATTTTAGCCATCACCAACTTAACAGAATGGGTAATTTAAATGACAGACGCTATGTGATACAAGTTACCGTCTTTTAAAGGCCTGTGGCAGGTTCATATTAATAGCATTTCATTTGTTCCTTCTTGAGGTGGAAAACGAAGCTCATTCCCAACGTGCAAAGCCAAGGCAGCGACCCCAGGCCCTCTTCTAGAGATGGAAGCTTGTTGAAAACCCAGACTGTCTCCACAGCTTGCCCGGTTGACCCCAAAGGAGCACTGACACCACCGCACCCTGAGGTCACTGCTAGAGACGCTGAACCTCAGAGACAATCACCGCCAGCCCCCCTTCTGTCTACTGCAAGAGCGGACTTCCAGAAGAAAGCATAAAACGGTTGTGTTTAAAAAAGGAAACTGCAAAGCACACAAGATTGCTGGCAGACGACGGTCCTGAGCAGCTCTGCTCCCCAGCTCAGCGTGCACTTCTGGAGATCTTGTGTGCGTACCTGTCGCCCTTCAGCAAGGACAGCAACCTGGCTGTGCTTCCCTGTCACCTGCAACCAGAGCCAGCGACTGGCACAGGCATCGGCCTCCCAGCTTGAGCACTGTGGGAGACCTCTGGTTCTGTCTTCCTTCTCCTTTCTCTTCAAGTGTTTATTCAACAGTGCAAAGGATCAAGCTTACGTTTGCTTTTGTTTTTTAAACTTGAATTTTTTAATTTACATTTTTTAGTTTTATTTTTCTTGTATATTTTGCTAGCTATGAGCTTTTAAATAAAATTCAAAGGTCTGGAAGAGTTTGGAATAAAAGCAAAGAAGCCTCTTTCTGAGAAATCTTGTTCAGTAAGCAGCTTCTCTGTCACACCGTAGCCTCTGTCCCACGAGGCATTTCAATAGAGATAATTAAGCAATAGCAAAACCCACCATTGGAGGTAGCGATTGGCAGCCCCTTCTCACTGAATTGTCTCACCTTTGAGTGACAAACCCTCACACAGACTTCTTTCTTTTCACTCTTGTAAAAAGCCCAGCACTTGAATTGTTACTACTTTAAATGTTCTGTATTTGTATGTTTTTATTAGCCAATTAGTGGGATTTTATGCCAGTTGTTAAAATGAGCATTGATGTACCCATTATTTTTAAATATCAAGGCGCAACCTTTGCCCCAAACTGTCACCTGTTTGTCATTCCAGTTTGAGTTAACGTGCTGAGCATTTTTTAAAAGAAGCTTTGTAATAAAACATTTTTTAAAAGTGTCATTTTATTAAGAATAAAGTTCTTGATAATTGAGAGTTGGTGATGAACTAAAGCCAAGGCCAGAGTTTGACAGGGCACAGCAGCTGCCCATGTGTGTGTGTGGGTTGCTGTGGTGCAACCTTCCAGGGTCCCAGGACAAGCCCCGCTTCCCAGGTCTGCAGTCCCTGATGGCCCTACACCTGGGGCCTCCTGCCCAGCACCAGGCACAGTAGTGAGGTGGGGTCAGAAGAGGAGTCACTAGAGTCAGATGGCGGCAGGTCTCTGTGTGCCACAGGCTGCATGGAGGCTCCCGCCTTGTGGGCAGTGAGGCTCGACGTGTACAGGTGCCTTCCCTCCCCACAGTTCTTTGGGTCTCAACCTGAGCTCACTAAATCCTGTGGTCCAGGAGGTGAAGGAGGTCGTCAGCCTGCCCATCCCCCAGGGTCAACATTTGCTTGATTTTTAGTTCATGGTCCATAACTCTCCCATGAACCTTTGCTATACTAATATGTTAGCTGATCTAGGCAAAATTACGTCCACTAAAACGCCACTCTTTCATGGTCCTCCATAATGGTTTTCCACCTTTTTCTTTAGTTGGAGAAGCACTGGTATCCCTGACCTAACCGAAACCCATCGCTGAAGTTCTAGTTCAGTTTTTCTTCATACAGCTGGGGAACAGCTGGCTACCATACTTGTAATAACCCTCCACGTACGGTACTTGAAGATTGCCATTAAATCACCCCTCAGATTTCTCTTCTCCAAGCTAAGTAAGCCCAATGCCTTGAACCTTTCATCATCGGTCCTTTAATCATTTTCATTACTATCCTTGGAACTTCTCCAATTCCTCTTCATTTAGTCCTAAACTTGAACCAGGAAAAAAAGTATTATGTTCCAGGGACCTACTTGTTATAAAGGTTTCATATTCAATCCTTCATTCAGAGATTGTCTCCTTAATGTGCATGACTCAAGTAGGTCAGTCTGACACGGCCACCATGGTCATTCAGGAAGCCAGCTAGGAAGTAAAATGGCAGGCTGCTAATCTAGGGGAGGGGGACTGGATCTCAGGCTGGGAAACATGTTCATCAAGCAAACAGCCAGCAGTATGTAAGTTTATACTCGAGACTCCAGCTGGGCCAGGGCCCGCTCAGTCTTTTCCCATTGGTTCCTTTTTATGCCTCAGAAAATGGGGTAAGAGTGTTGGAAGAGTGAGCTGTTTGGCTCCTGTGAGCCAGTTGCTCCTTGCACAGACTCACTCCATTCCTCGTCGTATTTCTTCCAGAATAATTTTCCCAACATAACTTTGAGGTCCCTGTACGGGGCTCGTTCTGAGCCACTGTGCCAAACTCGTGCCTTCCACAGGCAGCAGTTCTTGGGGGAGGAGAATCAAGTGCCCCCCACTGCCCAAAACAGACCAAATGCCGTGTCCTCTGACTACTTCTGTTTGTGAAGTGGCTCCCTGCCCTGTAGTAAGCACAGAGCAAACCTGGGTGCCTGCAGGAGGAGCCCAGCCTTCTGTGGGGAGCCTTGCTTTGCCTGAGGCCACAGTTGGCATGTTGTCCTTAGGGGTGTTTTCCACCTAGTTTGCTTGGTTTGGTTGCTAGGGTGGCTGGCAAGACCCGTCCAGCTGGGAGGACCTACCAACCGTTTCAGGACCACAGCTGTCCTGACGTAGTCATTTTCCCAGTTTGGTCTAAGGTTACAACAATACAGAGGAGCTCGCAGGAGCAGGACAATTGTGTAGCTTTCCTTTAGAGAAGTCACAAGAAGACAATGGAGAATTACAACAGGAGAGAAAAACAAATTCTACATGATTGTGCAACAAATTCCCCTTACCATTTTTACCACAGAAAAGACTATACAGATGAGGTAATAGGAAATTAATAATTTATAGTTAGACTTGGGGGTTCAAGTGGAAACCACTGTTCTTTTGTACATGGACACTGGGAATTTTAAGAACTGCCTTTTATAACCTATACATGCGAACTGAACTGCTTTCAAGTAGAAATGATATCTGACTGTAGCTAAGCATCTCGATAGTAACCGGAAGATGGGTTTCGGAATTTATGTAGATTATGATAAAGATAACTTTGGTTTTCTTGGCTGTCATTCTAAATGTATGTAACTCTTTGATGGCAGTCAGGACTGCCTCAGTGGGGGAGAGGTATACCGTGTGCAGCTATTCAAAATGAACGATATTAGAATGAGCCAACATAACAGAACTGTACCTGTTGGGTAGTTTATTTTGGTTTTTCTTTTTTTGGAGACAAGGTCTCCTTGTGGCCCCAGCTGGCCTGAAACTTGCTGTAAGACCAGGCTGGCTTTGAACTCACAGAGATCCACCTGCCTCTGCCTCCAGAGTGCTGGGGTTAAAGGCGGGTAACCACCATGCCCAGCTAAGTTAGGTAATTTATGAACTTGAGAACCCAAGTCAAAACATTCTTTGCCTTTACTGAAACAATGCTATGTGTTTATTTCGACAGTGTGCTGGGTCACAGTAAACTGGCATTTAAAAACGAGTCAGTGAGGCAAGTTGGCAGATCACCTGTAATCCCAGCATCCCAGGCAGAGCGCAGAGAGTGATGGCTGAACCCCAGCCTACAGGATACCACTAATGAGTGAATTTTCCTTGAATTATAATTTGTTAGAAAATGTGTTTTGGTCCATTGTAAAAATGTCCTGTTTGTATTTTAGCCATAAAGTACTGGTGCACAGTCCTGTTCAGGGAAGTGTTAATGAAGACTTACCCAGTCTGTTTTGAATTCCTGATAAGGAAAGCACCTACACAAAGCAGCCAGAGCTGGGGTATTATTGCGTGACAGCGGTTTGTTGATTAAATCATTGCTATATTCTCTCCTCTCTCCTTCTCTCCCCTTTCCTGTTCTTGCTCCTTCCATGCTTCCCCCGTCTCTAGCTTTTTATTACTTTTGAAGTTTATTTTGTGTGTATGTTTGTGGGTATGCAGGTACAGAGGTCGGAGGACCAACTTGCAGGAGTTGATTCTCTCCTTCCACCATGTGGGTCCCAGGGACTGAACCCAGGTCATCAGGCTTAGAAGCTGGTGCTTTTTCCCACTGAGTCATCTCTCAGGCCTTAGTGTTGTTTTTTTTTTTGTTTTTTTTTTTGTTTTTTTTTTTTATATATTTTTGTTTTGAATGCTTTACTTGCATGGGTGTAAGTATACCATGTGTGCAATGCTTGTGGAGGCCAGAAGAGGGCATCAGATCTCTTGGAACTGGAAAAAATAGTTTGCCAACATGTGGATGCTCGGAACCAAACCTGGGTCCTCTGCAAGAGCAGCCAGTACTTTTAACTGCTGAGCCATTGCTCCAGCCCCAAGCCATTGTATTTTTAAACAGGATCTCAGTATGTACCCCCAAGCGAGCCTCAAATTCATATACCTCCGCCTCCCCCAGTGCTGGGATTACAGATGAAATAATTTCTTTATCTGTAATATTTTGAGGTCTTAATAGCTAAGTTACTATGTCATCTCCATTAGATGCATAGGAGAAATTGGCAGAACTTGAAGTCAGTGGCATTGCTGGATTATACATTATGCTACAATGTTTTCTCCTATGAAAAAGGTGTATGAGGCAACTGAAGTAAAACAGCACCACAAACTGGCCTTGTTGATGTTGTCACAGGCCTTTGCTCGGGTGTCCACTGCTTGACTGGAGACATGCAACCTTGTCTCCCTTGCCCTCCTGCTCAGCATGTGTGCCTCAAGAGCCAGGGACATGTGGTGCTCAATCCCCCGGCTTAACAAAGCCCAGAGGTGCATTTGAGCAATAGTATTTTCTTGCCCTTGCATTTGGCACACATGGGCTGTACTTTTCAACCCAGGGCTGTCCACCCCTCAGTGCTTGGCCTAGAACGTTCACACCCATAAAGCAACCCCTTGCAAAAACCACCGTTTTCACCGTTTAACCTCCAGAAGACACTTGGCAGCTGCAGCTTTTGGATTTTTTTTTAAAGTATGTGTGTGACTGGGTTTATGCACATATGTGCAGTGCTCATGGGGGCCAGAAGAAGGGCTCTGGAGCTATTACAGGCTATTGTGAGCCACCTGACATGGGTGCTAGGAACCCAACAGTGTGGTCTCTTAACTTCTGAGCGATCTCTCCAGCCCCCTGCTGTAACTTTTAACTGCAAACTTTCTAACAGTGTCTCTGTCCCCACTACCTTCTCTCTACCCCAGACATTTGCCATGTGCCAAGTTTTAACCCTGAACTTTCCCATCAGGACTGCTCATTCCCTTCTAACACCCCTTCACCTGAGACCAGGACATGCCTTCCAGTAGAATGTTCCAGTAAGGACATCAACAGAAATAAGGCTGAGGCATCTTACCAAGGCTTGGAGATGCAAATCCAGACCCCACTCTCAGGACCCCTAAGGCCTGCACTGCCACAATGACTTGAAAGGGACTCTGCTTCCACACAGGCTGCTATTTCAGACAGTTACAGCTTGAGTGCGGACACTAACGGCAGTCCTGCTTTGCTGCCTCATCTGATGTTTCTTAGTACACCGAGTAGGGACTTGCTCCCATTAACTCCAACCCCGTGAAACTGGCACAAGCTCACCCAGTGCTGTTTAAAAACAAAACAACAGGATAAAATATATAGGCCACTTCATTCCTATTCATCTGCAGACATAGGAAAATCTCAACTTCTTCTCTAGGGTTTTAAACCATCCAGCCTGTTGCTTATACATAAAATGTAACTTATCTAACCACCTCCTTGCCACTTCCTCTGGTTTACTGACCACCACCTCCAGGAAGACTTGGAAAACTTCCCAAGTAGCTATGGCAGTAGAACATCAGGACCAGCACTAGGCTTTGAACAGGAGGCCCAAGAGCTGAGACTCAGCCCTGTTCCCACCCCTCAGAGCATTTCTAGATCAGTATTTACACAGCATCAATGCTTGTTAACAAGAAAATTAGTCACATAAAATTATAGACACACCTTATATTTTTGGTAGACTTAGTTACTTAAGTTGAAATGTGAAGGGGATTGAAATCAAGGGGATGAGATAGAAACCCAGGCCACACGCATGAGCTGTTTAGCTCATCAAGAGAGAAAAAAATCCTGCCTGTTGCCGTGTAAGCCATCACTCATGGTTTTACTTTCCTCATTGATGAGTCACTCAATCTCAACTGAGCTTCTGAAAACTGATGTTTGTTAGTATCTGGCAGAATCTAGTGAAGAACCGTGTTATTACATCATTTTTCAAAGGGCTTTGGGGGAGGGTAGGATCTGGCTACATAAGCCAGATTAGTCTTGAAGGCCCAAACCTCCTGCCTCAGCCTCCCCAGTACAGGAATTACAGGCATGTGCCACCCCACCTGGCTAACGGCGATCTACACCAGCACCTCTCAGTGCCAGCACCTGCTCCCACCTACCATACTACGTCATTCGGCAGTTTCCCTAATTCAAAAAGACCTCGAACTTGGTATCATAGTTCGTTAAGCAGTGTTTCTTTTTAGACACTATTATAACAGTAAATCTTATGGACATTAAAGGGCTGTCAGCTTTGTTTTGCAAAGATATTTTGAAAATGATTAAAAATGTTTATTGGAAATTTTCACTTCTAATATAGAGATTAATATTACTAAGAGGAAGCATGTTTTCTGACCTCAACCCTGGTATTGGCTTTCAGATGTTAGAAAAGGCTCAGGCTGCCAGTAGGAGGCAAGTTTGTGGGGTGCAGCCCATGTTGAACTAAACTCTACCCCCAAACAAGTGTGGTCAAAACACAAGCATGAATGCACAGGGTGAGGGGATTCTTAGTAAGGTTTAGTTTTCCCACCAAATTGTAACAAGCAGTGGATGCAGAGCCCTTCCTGCCACCACCTTCCCCAGCAGAGCCATGGAACTGGACAGGAAGCCACACCCCAAGTCCCAAGCTAAAGATGAGGAGGAGGTTCCAAATCCCTTCCTGGTCAGCCCTCCTGAACATAATGCATAGAGAAGATTTTATGAAATGCCAAAAGGAGTTCAGAAACCAAGTCTTCTGAATATTGGGTAAAGTCAAAGTGTATTTTTAAATGTCCACCTTTCCCACCCTGTGAGTAGATAGTTGCTTTGCTAACTTCTCTCTTTCCTGAAAACCAGTGGTTAAAAAAGAACTCTGCCATTTACAAGACAAGAATGACAAAGTGAAGGCCCAGGGCTAGGGGTCATGCCAAAGGTTAAGAGTTAGCTGAGAGGGAGCAGAGCTGTGAAACACATAACCACACAGGCTCCCCCCATGACAACAAAATACATGAGAACCCCAACCAGGTTCTGGGGTGCCAGTGTGGCAGAAATGTGTACGGCATGTGTTATCTCACTTTGTAATAAACTCAGAATCTTTCAAAATTAATCAGCTTTCTCTTATCAATCATGAAATTCTTTAAAAAATCATCTCATTAGAACCCAGAGGAACAAATACCTACTTGGGGGAAGAGTCTGTCTGCAAGTTTAGATTTGAGATGTCCAGATTTGCTCTTTTGTATTTATCATCAAAACCTAGATCTAATCCGGAATCTGCTACTAAGTATCTGGTGACCTTGGCACATCACTTAAGCACCTCTGCTAACAAACCCATGGTTTCTGATGTCTTTCCAACTCCAAATTCTATCATGGAAGATACTCTGTCAACCCAATGATTAAAAGAATCTTATGTTACATTATTTCACTTTGTTGGCAAAGAAGAAACAGATGTTCCTTAAAAACCACTCTCTGTGCCCTTATTACTACTTTGCTGGTAAGAAATGTGGAGGGCCGGCCGCAGGCAGGGTCCACACACATGCCTTGTGCCAACCCTCCCTCCCACTGCTGTCGCCTCAGTAGCAGCAGCGTGTCAAAAGGTGGGCGATTATTTAAGCAAATTGTGATTTCAGGTTATACATGTTTATTTCCATTTGAATTTTCACAGATTAAAAGATTGTGTTTTATTAGTCAATAGGCAGTTTGTGGCACTGATTACTCATGAAAAATGAAACAGAGAGAGAGAGAGAGAGAGAGAGAGAGAGAGAGAGAGAGAGAGAGAGAGAACTAAGAGTTGAATGACCATGAAGACAGACTCGTCCTACAAACCAAGCACACAGATTCTTGTTGGAAGGGAGCCATGTCTTGATGAGTCCAATGAAGACATAACTTGTGCCGTTCCCAGAATGTGGACTAACACTTGAAGCTGCAGACAGCAAACATCCTCAGAGAGGCAGAACTCACCTGCTGTCAGTTGCAGCCTGTTAGATGCACCAGGAATGCAGGATGGCTCCTGGCCCCTCGGTGGAACACTGATGAACACAGCGCACTCATCCTCAGAGGATGTGAGTAAATGAATTTAGGTAATGCTTTACAAAAACAACAGGTTCAGAAAAAACGTTTGCTCTAAGGCACCAAGGGCATAAAGCTTTTTAGAAAAATACACAAAAGAGAACAGACTAAACCAGAAAATTAGTTCTCAGTGGTAGAATCTGTTATTACTGCAACTTGTGTAACAATTACTTCAGAGAAACCGCAGGGGAGGGCCCGCTGAGCACCTGTGGCGAGCCTGATAGCGGCTGCCCAGGACACAGTCGTCCCTGTCCCACGGCTGGCTGGGGGTGCTCTGAAACCCTTCGGGAGTATCACTTGTATTTGTAAAAGCCTTCTCCAGTCTTCTTACCCAGTTTCTTCTCAGCCACCAGATTATTCAGGGAAGGACTGGGCTGAAATAGGGGGTTCTTCGAATCCATTTCGTGCCACCCTGTTGAAAGGAGGGACAGGTGCTTGGCTCACTTTGGTCCTGGCATTCTGAGGGTATGTCTGGGGCACTGCCAGGCAGGAGGCTCCCTACACTGACAAGCCCGAGGCACACCCAGGTCACCACGGCAGAGAAACAGGGCAGGCATTGCTGCTGCCTGTGTGCCACTAGCAGCCCAGCTCCAGTGCAGGGCTACAGAGCTCAGCCTGTAAATCACCAAGCTGCTTGCTGGCAGGATCCCAAGTGGGGCAGTGAACTTTCAGAACACATTAAAGCCTGGCCTCCTCCCACTGGTATTTTGTATCCTCATAAAATTCCAAATTTCATGTGTATAAGTGTCTGCATGCACCTGTGCTGTACAATGCCTGCGGAAATCAGAAGAGGGAATCAGATCCCCTGGAACTGGAATTATGGGTGGTTGTTAGCCACCATGTGGGTACAGGGAACCAGACCCAAGTCCTTTGCAAGAGCAGCCAGTGCTCTTAACCACTGACCCATCTCTCTAGCCCAGGAACTACACTGTTTAGATGGCTGCATATCCTGATTGCAGTAGAAGTAACAGAAAGCAGCTGGTAAGAGCATGACACTGCACCTGTCAGTGTCCTGGCTTGATTTTAAGTGGTGGTTCTATATGATACGCCTACCGCAGAGAGACTGAATGAAGGGTTCGTAACCTGAGTTATACTCACAAATGTCTATGGCTCTGTAATTACTTAAAAATGAAAGATTATAAGCAGTTGCCCTGCTAAACAAGACTCAGCCACCACAACCTTCTCCTGCCATCTGATGGTATGAACCTCTAACCTGTTGCTATGGTTGGACTTGCTTTGTTCCCTGAAAGGTTCATGTGCTGTCAGTGTGAAAAATGGTGGAGCCTTTAAGAGGTGGGGTTTAAAGAAAGGTACTTAGTGGAAATGGGGTTCCACCTCATGAATGGATTTGTATAGCTTCTCAAGAATGGATCAAATCTAGTGGTTAGATTACTTCTAGGGAGTGGGCTGTTATACACTAAGGTTATCTATACCTTGGACATTTCTGTATGAAGCTACTTCACTTTTCAGCTTCTCTGTCATGTTATGACAAAGTCAAAAGGCATCTTGCTGTTTGGACTTAGGTTCCAAAAGACAATTTCAACTCAGCTTTTAAAAAGAAAGAAAAAATTTTAATTCCTACCATCCAAGATGAACTTTGTAGTATCCAGTCCAACGTAGTCAAGAAGTTCAAATGGACCCATGGGATACCCAGCTCCCAACTTCATTGCCATGTCAATGTCTTCCTTAGATGCATCACCTGAAAAGAAAGGGCAGTACTGAGTCCTCACCACCTTTACCAAGTTCTCCCTGCCACAGGGTTAGTTGCAGAATGACTAGAATTTTATATATTTGTACATTCAAAGAATGTCTAGCATCCATGTTCCAGGTCTGGTAAGATTTTGTTTCAACGGTAAATGCCAAATAGGTCACTTGCTTTCAAACCAACTCTAGACCCTGCTGTCCGGTTCATGGAGAGAGAAAGAGAAGCTTGTGCCTGGGAGTACTGGCTGACCCAGATAGGCTGGGACTTTCCAGTTCTAGAGTCATTAACCATTTAATACTAGATATTTTTCTTTTTTCAATGGGCTTTAAACAAACTTGGGTTTCTGATTCCTTTTCTAAAAATATTTTATTTATTATTTTTATTTTATGTATATGAGTGCGTAGCCTGCATGTGTGTAAGTGCACCCATATCATGCAATGCCTGCAGGGGTCAGAAGGGGGCGCCAGATCCCCTGGAACTGGAGTTATAGACAGTTGTTAGCTGTCATATGGGTCCTAGAAATTGAACCCAGGTCCTCTGCAAGAACAGGCAGTGTTCTTAAGCACTGAGTCATCTCTCCAGTCTAAGCTTCTGATTTGTTATGTACTGCATGTGTATTTTTCTTTTCAAACTTTGTTTTACAGATGCTGAGTGTTCCCCTGGAACCACATTCACACAGACGGTCAGGATAACTGTCAAAAGAAACCCCAAACCTGTAACCGCAGTGCCATCTTTGCTCTGAGCAGTCTTCATAATTATGCTGCTTTCAGTGTAATTCAGATGTGTTCAGATGTTTTCTACAATGCCAAATTCCTTCCTAAAATTCTAAGAAATGAAATAGTCCTCAAGTGAGTCTCTGAATCTAGATTCGAGTCTTCTAGGGTTCATTGCCCCGTCCTTGACTGAACAGCTTTAAGTGAAGTGGAACTGTTACATGGTGTGAAGTAGACCAGGATGAGGCTCCTGGACTTTTCCCTATAACATGCTGTTGTTGGACCATATAACAACTTTATGGAGAACCTGTGTCCTGCCTCCAACACTAGAAACTGGGATCATCTACAATACACAGGTATCTATCTGGAATTTTGTTTCAAAGTATAAAGCAGTGGTCAATCATACTAGAGCTAAATAAAAAATTAAAACAGAAAAATATTCACACCTGAAAATTTCAGATGCTTCAAACAGGACCCTCCTCTTCACCAATAAGACTAAACAATCATAAATACTACATTTTGCAAAAGCACATACAGCACTAAAATATGCCAGAGAACTGCAGTACAATTTAAGGTGATTAAAATACAACCGAAAAGCCAGGCAGAGAGGCACACGCCCATAATCCCAGCACTTGGGAGGTTGAGGGAGAATTGGGAGTTCCAGGCCAGCCTGGACCATCAAGTGAGATCCTGTCTGAAAACAAAACAAAACCCCACTCAACTATTTGCTGTGGGTGACATGAAGTACTACTATTAGAGGTCTCTGAAAATCACAATTTGAGATTGAGGCATTAAAAAAGAAAAGTATCCACATATATGAGTCTCATCAGGTCCTGCAAATCCCATTCTTTCTTCTTTCCAGTGTGGAGACCAAACCCAGGGTCTTGAGCGTTGCTAAGCCAGTGTTCTACCACTGAGCTACATCCCAGCCCTCACTCACTCTGTATTACCTGGTGGACACTGAGACTTGCAGTTAGACAAAGACAGACTCTCAAGGTGCCTGTGACACAGCCAGGGGAAGAGAAAGTGCAAATCCCAAATTGCAGCATAACTGCCTCAAGATTCATGCTACTGTACAGCTCCATGTGGACAAAGATGGCTACACTCACTCAGACTCCACCAGCCTGGCTCTCTACCTCTGAGGCCCAGGTCATGAAGGATGAAAAGAGTCTCAAGAGAAGACACAGTCAGGACACCACAGCCAGACGGACAAACAGCACATGCGGAAGCGACATGAAAAGGAGCACACATAGTTGGGCTCTGGCTCCACAGCTCACACATGGGTTGCTCGGGATGTCTAATCACCAAGGCTGCCATGTGCTACAGCTGCCTCCAGAAGCTAGAAGTGACAGCCTCACAGGACTCCTACCTGCCAGGCCCTGAGCCAAGGCAGGAAGCCTTCATACATGCTCAGGGCTCAGCCTCTTCCTTCAGGCTTCCTCTCAGACAGCACTCATCAGAGCCGCCCCACCTGCCGCACTTACACAGGAGCTGCTAGGACTGAACAGCGGGGGCTCCCACCATGTCTGTACTTCTCCACAGTTGCCAATAAGTGCCTGACTGATTGGCTCATTTATCCAGGAAGTCTTCCCTCGACAGAATGCACACAGCCTGGGGACAGAAACTGAACAGCACCTAACTTACCTAAAGCCATTCAATCAAATCCATTGTCAAGGACAGAGCAACGGACCCTAAAGGCAAAGCTATAATTCTAGAATCAGACCCTCACCTGAAGACAACTTGTTTCCAAAAATGATGTAAAGGTACAGAGAAGTGTGGAAAACAACTCAAAACACTTCTACAAAGTCAACACAACTCTAAAAGCTCTGTTCTAAACAACAGAGCAAAGAGGCAAAAGGACAGAAGGACAGACGTGCAGCACGCACGAGACTGGGCCAGGTGCGAGTTAGAGATGAGCCCATGTTTTAACCATAGTTCCTAACCTTCCTTAGTGTCAAGTACTTGTCTGAGAATCTGACACTCCCTCCAAAAAAACAACCACACCAAACTCTGCCTCGCCCTCTCTTACTCCAGCAAGTGCAGAGCCCTGAACTCTCACTAAGAGTAAAAAGGAGACACTTCCCCAGTCAGCCTCCAAACCTGGATGGCTAGGGGCTGGTTTGGGGACCCAGAAGACCACAGCTGTCTTTCTCTGGCTCACTGGCACCACCTGCCAGCCGCTCTCAGCATTACCAAGAGCAGCTACCCCTCCAGGAGCCAGCAAGGAAGGGCAGCCAGCCACGGGCTCCTTCATTGGCTAAACCCTAAACACCTGTCCTGGGTGAGCAGTTTGAGGGCTTGAAGATAAGGATGCTGACCCTGCCACAGAAAAGAGCACAGTTGGAGAAGTCAGACATATGTCACGTCATGGGTGGCAAATAGCCCAAGGGACAATCAAAGCACAGACACACCACAACAGCAGTTATGCCCAGCTTGGAGCTTGCGGACACCAGGAACGACCTTGTGAGAAAGGTTCAGTGAGGTATGAGGAGACAATGGCAGGGCCCAAGGGTGAGGAGGAAGGCTGTCAGCCTTAGCTTATGTACACCAAGTTACCAGAGAAGTGCTAGTCTTAAGCAGGGTGGGTGGCTGTGAACAGGACATCCTACAGTGCTTGGAGTCAGGCCTGCTCCAGTCCTAGAATGCACTACAGCACAGCCCTCCTGAGAAGTGGCAACCGTGTGCTCTCACCACCCTGCTGAAGCTAAGCAACCACAGTGAGCATGTGGCAAGACAGGCTACTAAGTCTACAACCCTCTGATCCAAGTGCTGGGACCTTATTACTCAAAAGGCCTCCAGCACCCTGAAGGAATGCAGAGAGCACTGAGCCAAACGCAGAGGTTAGAGATGGCAGTGAGCTCCACAAGATGCTATGCAGTGTGAGAGAAGGGTATCCTGAAAGCTGTTCAGATGTCTGAGACTGACTAAATAGTTGCCCACACACCCTAAATATAGTAACCAGGACAGCCTTGCCACTGGCCTGAGTATCACCACAGTGGCCTGGTTGGAGGAAGGCCCAGGCACTGAAGGGACACAGGGATGACAGGGAGGCATCAAAGGTGATTAAGCATGGAAAGCAAGAGGAAGTACCTCGAGGCCACAGGTGACCAGTGGAGCTGATGCGATACAGATGCAGAGCTGTAGACCGAGAGGGTCTGAGCATGTGTCTAAACACTTTGATCAAGTGGACAGTGAGGCAGCAAAAGGGACATGGGAAAATGCCTGGGTACTGTAGGGAGTCTAGACCAGTGTGGAGTGCTGGGAACCTGAACCCACATGACACTTCAGGGGGGATGCACTGGCTCACAGGCCCGAGAAGTCTACAGGAAAACAGGCCAAGGAACCAGCAATGGCAGGCTATCCAGAGCAGGACAAGAGCAAACTGAAAGCACACCCCAGGGCCAGGCTCTGCCCGCCTGGCTGCAACAGAGATGCCTAGTGATGGAGAGGGGCAACAGGCTTCACAGGCCTGTTTTGGGGGAGCGGAAGTGAAGAAAATGGCTTTCGCCTTAGCAGCAGCTACCTGCACATGGAAGAGGTATCAAAGGGACCATGTGTTTCTGAAAGAAAATCACCATGAAGAGGTGCTACATTCTAAAATATATTTTATTAGAAAAAACCACAACTTTCAAGGAAGGGGAAACATCGTTCTTTCTCTGAGGTGTAATTAAGCACATTTGTTGATAAACACAGAAGTGTTAGTTTGATCTTGGAGCAAAAGTGAGGCAGTTGCTTCCATAGATCATGGAGGAAACTTTAATATTTAAACCAGATCTTGAGGAGGCAAACGTGCTTTCATCTGCTGGAAGAGCTGGTGGAGATTTTTTGTTTCAAAAATGACATCCCAAGAACAAGGATTGTGACTAGAACTACTCAAAATAGTGATTTTTTTTCAGAGTCCTGTGGCTTGTTTGCCTTCGAAGAAGACATGATTGTGTCTTTCTCAGAAACAAGAGAAGACAGACAGGCAGAGCTAGACTGAAACAGAACCCTAGACCATGTCCCGAATCTTACACTTCTATACCACGGAAAAGCACTTTGTCGGCCTAGTATTCAGAAGGGAACATTTGAGGGCCAGGAAGATGGCTCAGTGGATAAAAGCCTGTGCAAGCCTGGAAATCCACATAAAGGTGGAAAGAGAGAACCTACTCCACGTTGTTCTCTGGGCTCCCTACATGTACTATGGCACCAAAGCCTACACAGATACAGATACACACACACACAGACACACATACAGTTTTTTAAAAAGAAAATGTTTTAAATCATTCTTGAAGTACAAACAATACACCCTGACCTTTTTTATTTTTTAAAAAAA